GCTTTGATAAAAAATCTCATTGTTTCTTTAGGGCATGAATCCTTCTCAACTACTACACAGATGGGAGATTTAATAGATGATTGAATTTGATCTTCATTTTGTGAACATTTTGTGTTACAGGATATCCATTGTCTCAATACCAAGATTAATGTGGGCACTTATGCTTACTGTTTTTTTTTAGGGCCAAGCTGGTGAATGCCATCAACAAGCATTCCCATCAGAATGAGAAAGGTGACCTCTCTGCAAGACAGATAACACACACACCAGCAGCTGACTAGGCCGATTTGCACACCTTAAGCCTGAGATGAAGGACTTAATCAGCAAAATCAGATGGTGTAGTGTTTGATTTGAATACAAATCTGCACACTCCTAGCTCTTGATAACATCCAGGTGAGGGTCAATGAGTTAAAGGATAATTCCGCTTTACGTCATCTCGACACATTTCCCATATACGGGGATGTTGTGATCTTTTCTTAGCCTCCCGTAGACACAAAGCAGGGAGTCAGTGTTCTTATCCATAATGGACAATAAAATAAAATGTCAGCGCCGAGCACATGACATTAATCACAAGTGTAACAATCAAATGTAAAAGGCAGTGACTCAGATACTGTGTATTCCGCTACTGAAACATGTACTTATATAAGGTTCACCGACCAACAGTGCACAAAAAGCTCCACCTTTACCATCTACAGCAGTAAAATGCTACTTAGGTATTTATGCAGTAATCCAGTGATATATTGTAGAGTATAAACAAAATACGTCTCTCAGTGGGGCCAATGCCCTAAATTATGGGTACTTTAGGTACCTTTAGGTCATGTGCTAATAGAATTTATGTAATTTTATGCAGGACTTAAACTAGTAATGGCATTTTTATATAGTGCAGTTTTGCTCCCTTTGCTTAAAGGATCTTGTTGTTGTTTATCAGTAGTCGAAGGGGGAAACGACTCTGTTGCAACACTTGGCACAGTTTTGAGCAGAAGCTTGTTTTATGTGTTGCCATCAATCCAAATGTAAACATTATGCTTCTCAGATAAAAAGGGAATCATAACTAAAAATAACCAAGAGTGTTACGTCACGGCAGTCAGTTGCATTTTTGCAGTAACATTTTTGTTCGATATTAACCCTCTCAGGCTCAAATTAAGTTTTTGTTGCTAATCCACAAAAGAATACCTGCAGTGGTACTTCTGAGTAAAAAAAAAACTATGTATGTGGGGTAATCAGGTTGTTAGCTTTTACTTGTTGCAAATCTGCAACGCCTGCCTTGAGAGGGTTAAAGAATATCAGTGCAAAAAAACCCCTAAATATAGGCTTTAATAAATTAAGGAACACAAGTAAAATGACAGAGTCTCAAAGATTAAAACAGAAAAGCTGCTCTCACACATTGCCGTGCCCCCGGAAAATCACAGAAAAGGTCCTGTTCGGAGGAGACAGTTGTCAAGACTGATAGTGGATGTAGGAGTGTTAAATTTACAGAACAGTTGGTGATGGACACCAAACTAGCACAGCACAAGCCCAGTGCGAATGTTTCTATGAAGCTGTCACGCGATGTGGGAGACCACATTATATATTTGTCCCTTTTTACTGATGACTGAATTATCAGCCGTCTAAATGCTAAAGCTATTCAGTCTGAAGAAATGGTATCTGAGCTGGCCGAGCTGTATGCTACTGGCTGAGGCCCGATTAAAATGACTGCTTAATTAAGTGTTACATGAGGATTAAATTAATATGACAACAGCAGATCTTCTAATCCTGTCAGTCTCTGTGACAAACAGGCACGATTGGCTGAGCTACAAAGTATTCTGGTAATCCAGCCGATTGTGCGACCCAGATCACAAAGAGAAGACATCAATAAAGATGGAATTTGAGCCAGTGTAGGAAAACTGCACATCTATGCGGATGGTATCAACTCCTAAGAGTATTTTATTTCTATACTGCGTTGATCGGTTAACAATTCAAAATGTGCATTTTCTCTTCATGAAGTCTTTAATATTCATACGGTGGTATTATCATAGTCAGTGTTTCAAAGCTCTCTGTACCGCCAGTCAGTGCCGCCAGAGATTTTTAACCGCAGGGAGTCCTGGTCTGTCTGTGGCTATAATAGACTGATATCTCATTAGAAAGACAAGCTGCACTGTACCAGAGGACTTTATTGGAGCTAGTATGGCAATAGAGTGTGTTTTAGTCGTTCTACTGATCAGATTCCTGCAGTTAAATAGGCGGCTTCACTGCAGACACAATCTAATTATGGAAGAGCACAGTAAAACACACTGAATGGATAAAATGAACGATGGTTGACATGTTTTTAAAAACTGTAGTTAATAATCAAGCCGTTTCAGAATTTACTAATTTATTCAGCAAAATGTATTAAAAAAAACATCAAATTTACCGCACCACATCAGGGCTGTCACAGATACATTTTTCCGAACGCACATATCTTATTTATAATAGATTTTTATCTAGTTTATAGTTTTGTCTCATTTAGAGGAGCGCTGTCTCTTGACATCAGGCAGCAAAACAAACCATGTCAGAGTTCAGACGAGCCAATTAGCATCCAACTGGGATCTGTTTGGTTGCAGTCAAGCTCTGTACAAAATCCAATCAGTCATGTTTAAAGTGTGCTCAGATAAGAAATTATACATTTTTAAATCAGACCAGTATAATAAAAAACATCTGCTAAATATCCTCATTTTAAGGAATTGATGGATGGCCGGTTGTTGCTTTCAATAAATGAGACACAGAAGAAACCAAACCAGACTTTGTATAAAACTGCATAGTTGTTTTAGTTTCTAATTATTCTGATAAAATAATTTACCATACTGTATATTTCCAGTTGAGTCACACTGAGAAAAATCTGACATGCTCAAGAGTGCAGGAGACAGTATAACAACTTTAAACATAAGCAGTCATGTGGCCCCAAAAAGTTGCCCACACACTTGTCCACCCCTGCTTTAATTAGTCACAAGAAGTCATTAAAACTACTTTGATCTTTCAAAATCGTGTAATAGTAAGAAGCTCTGACAATTTCATGTCCTTCTGTAGGTTTTTCAGAGAAAAAGGCAGCACATTTAGAAGCCCCCCCTCCTCCAATTCTGCTACTGTGAGACTGAAGGCCATGCTCGTTTTGGTATGCCATACACGAGCATATGCAGCAGTATAAAGGCTAAATGATCACTGCTTCACAGTGTTTGGCAAATAAAATTAAAACATTTTGGAAGGCAGTTACAGAGACATGTGAGAAAATTATGTCAAATGAAGTTCCAAATACCCCAAAAGCATTTCTGCTTGGTTTGTAGCCAAAAGAACACAGTTGTCATCAATGTGAACAAACATGACTGAACCTCAGGTTTTAAATCCTAAAAAGCTATCAGAAGTGTTTGGGGGAAGGAGGGGGGGCAAACAAAAAACAAAAATGAAAAATAATAAAGCACATTGACTAGAAAATACTCATAGAAAAAGATGAATCATGTCACATCATATACTAGAAAAAAATAACACATGAAGGGTGATTTAGATCATTTTGAACATGGCATGAAGTCACTGGTACTAGAAGGGCGGTTTCAAATTTTTTTGGAAATTGCCACATGGCCGTCTGAGGATTTACAGAGAATTGTCCAAAAAGACAAAACATCCAGCAAGAGACAGTTCCCTGGGTATCTTGGTCATGCCAGAGGTGCCAGAATGCTTTGAGCATACCTTCTGCAAGGTATGCAGAAGAGCATCTTTGACTCCACAACATGTCAAATCTTGAAGCAGATTATCTAAAGCAGCAGAAGACCACAGAAGACAGTCCTGTCACATCAAAATGGACCAAAATCTCTAAGGAGTGATTTCAGCACCTTCTTGAATCTGTGGCATGAAAAATTAAAACAGTTCTGAAGGCAAAAGGAGGTCCAAGTTGGTGTACCTAAGAGAGCAGTAGCGAGTATATACAAAAAATGGTTTAATGAGTTTGGGAACAATATTTGAACTATTTGCTCTTTGTTTTCTTTGTATTTGGATATTTTATCATTACTGCAATTCTTTTTAAAATATTAATACAATATAACTGAAAGGGAAAAAATGTCCAGTGATATTTTGACTTGAGCTGTATAGCAATGGAGAAAAATGACACGGTAGAATTTCATCATTTTTACGAACAACTGGGAACCCTTTCCCCGTAAGTCTCCTGCTAAACCCACATAGCCACTAACGAGCGTCAACGTTTCAAACTCTTTGGGCCAGATTTACTAAGTAGGACAGACTAGTGTGAGGCTGCAAACAGAAAAAAAAAACAGAAGAATAGGAGGGGAAATTTCTGTGGGTGATCTAATAACAATGTGCACATTTATTAACACAGTCCATCTCCTTTATGTCAATATGAACAATCCAATCTACCAACAGCAGGGGAAATATGCATAGGGACACAAACGAGCAGATCCGATGAGAGTGTGAGTGATTGACCACAAACAAGGGAAAAGTTTAATACTTTAATCTGGCAGAAATAAGTCAGTGACAGTTGGATAAAAGGTGCGACCACTGTGGAAATGTAAAAAGGTGTCTCATGAGATGCACAAGGGAAATTTCACATTTGCAAGCTATCTTGCTGAGTTTTGACTGGTGGGGTGAATTTATTATTTAGATAACATTTGCAGTCTGAAGGCGGTAGGCATGTGACAAATGACTGCAAATGTGAATGACGCTAAAACACTTATGCACAACAGCACTTATGTACAGCCTTATTAAAGCCCTGCTTGACTTTCGAATGGTTTATGCAGTGTGTTATGACTTTCAGTTGGAGATCATTGGTAATTTTTGATTTATTCCAGAAAATTATAAATTCTAGTTTGTAATGATAAGGACCTTCTGGCATTCCAGATGAGTCACCACACAATAAGCAATTTTCCTTCATGAAAGGAAAACTTTCTGTGCAAATATAATATTTGTGCAGCTAAATCTGCCCCTTTTTTTCTGTGTGGCTGAATCGCACGCCACCAGCCCCGGGCCAGTTGGTTGGAACTTACCTCCTTCTCTCCACATATATTGCTGATGATTGAGTTGGAAGCTGGACTGGCAGATGGACCAAGGACTGCCACCACCCCTTTGGACATGATCTGGCACACTGGGAAAAAAAACAGAGGAGGAGTACAGAGATATAAGCAGGGGCAATTAGAGGTAACAGAGATAATTAAAGTAAAGTAAGGCAGTTGGTGTTTAGATGTTAGATCAGGCTTTTTTTTTTCAGGCTAATGTTAATGGATCCATATGATCACTGCCTCAACCTCTGAACAGATAGCAGCCTGCACCAGCATTTCTCCTGTCTCAAGGGAACCAGAAACTACAAGTGTAAGGGAAATATGCACAAGGGCAGATGCTACACTCTATCTGCCTTTGGATGTTTTACTTGTTGGGGATATTAATATGATCAACTCTCAAGTATAAAGACGGAAAGATATGCAGCAAAAAAGAAAGAAGACAATGACGGATAAACAGAGTGGGAGTCGGTGAAAAGCAGACGTTGGGAAATGTGACAAGCAGCAATATCTGGAGGGTGAAAATAAAAAATCTGGTATTTGATAATTTGCACATGAATGCAATAATATCCCCAAAGGTGACACGCACACACACACACACCCACACACACACACACACACACACACATACACACACACACACACACACACACACATCTCATCGTGCTTTTCAAATACAACATTTACAAGGATTGATTTAACAGCGGTACCTTTGGGCTTTAAAACATATCTGTAAACAGAAACATTTCAGTAAAAGTGACTTTCTTTCCTTTGCCATGTGCACGGGCCATATGCTTTAATCTCCCAAACTGGGAAAGAATGCCATTTCTTATGTGTTTATAATCCCTGGCTTGTAATTAACACACTGCAGTCCAGGGTGTAAAGAAGACACACATACTGAAGCACTATTATTGTGTGAGCATGTGTGCACCAAGTGTGTGAGTGTGGGTGTTGGTAATTTGGTGGCTGTTATTGGGGAATTGCTGAGCATTAACCAGCCACCAGTGTAAAATAGGCAAAGGGGAAACATTTCCAGGCCCGTGCGGTGCATCGAGAGGCAGTGAATCGAATGATTAATAAGTAATCCGCTAGTCACCCATGGGGCTTGTAAGACATGAATACACTGCCATCTTACATGAAAAAAAACAACACACATGTATACAGTGCACACGCACACACTAACGCATCCACGCCCACACTTTTGTTTGCACCTGTCTGTAATGGCTTCACTGAATTATAAAGCTGAATGATTTGACTGCAAGCCAGAATGCTCCCGGCCCCGGTGACACTTTCATTTGCTCTCTTTGTGCACGGCGAGCTTTTTCTGTGTGTAAATATGTGAGCCATATTGAAAGTATTTGGACAGTTACACTCCTTTTTTTTGGAAAAAAAAAAACACTGTGTGGGATTCAGTTCTTTTACTATATTAGGTCTAAATTAGAAGGATCCAAAAACATTGCTTAAACTAAACAATTATATAGGTTTATGTAAGTATATGTAAAAGCACTTTACATAGGTTAATTCCTAAAAATGGATGTAGCTCTGGATGAAAAGGTCAATAGAGTGAAATCTGCTTTAAAAAAAACAAACCCAAAATGTTACTCATGGCCCAAATCAAACAGCATTTAAAGGCTATCACGCAGCAGAATTAGCAGACTACTCTTCAGTTGTGCTTTTACTGCTATTAAAAGTTGATGGATAACTAATGAGGTACAATATATTGCCACTAGTATTCGCTCGTCTGCCTTCACATGCATATAGACCTGAGTGACATCCCATTCTTAATCACGAGGTTTAGGAGTGTGTTTATGGGAATTTATGACCATTCTTACAGAAGAGTGTCTGTGATGTCAAAGAATGATGTTGGATGAGAAGGCCTGGCTTGCAGTCTACTCTCTAATTCATCCCAAAGACGTTCTGCCCAGTTGAGGTCAGAACTCTGTGCAGACCACTCAAGTTCTTCCACACCAAACTCACTCATCCACGTCTTTATGGGCCTTGCGTCATACACTGGTGTGCAGTCATGTTGAAACAGGGAGGGGTCATCCCCAACCTGTTCTTGCAAAGTTGGGGGCATGAAATTATCCAAAATGTCTCAGTATACTGAAGCGTTAAAAGTTCCTTTCACTGGAAATAAGGGCCGAGCACAACTCCTGAAAAATCAATTTACACACTGTTCTCGAGCTAAGAACACTATGCGCCTCAGCATCTGCCGCTCTGTGATTTTACATTGCCTACCCTTTAATGGCAGAGTTGCAGTTGTTTGCAGTCACTTCCACTTTGTTATAATACCACTAACAGCTGACTGTGGAATGTTTAGTAGTCAGGAAATTTCTGGTGACATCCTATTACGGTACCATGCTTGGGATTCACTGAGCTGCTGAGAGCGACCCGTTCTCTCACAAATATAGAAGCAGTCTGCATGCCTTGGTGCTTGATTTTATACACCTGTGGCCATAGACGTGACTGGAACACCTGAATGCAACGCCAATGATTTGGATAGGTGAGTAAATACTGGCAGTGTGGGGTACATGGGATCAGCTAGAGGATCTGAGTATCCCACATTCAGGGAGTCAAAAAAACCAACAAGATGCTACAACAAGCCATAATTGAAAATGTAGGCGCAGACAAAGTCCAATGAAAGTACAGCGCTGGAGTTCAGGTAGTCACTGACTACCACAGTCTGTTCCTTTCCACATTCATTACCACAATTAATTTTCCTCAAAGGCCTCATGAGAAACTTGGACTGTTGTGAAGGACCGCAACAAAAAGATTATTAAGTGATCAAATTAATATGAAGCTGCACTCGGTTCTGCTTGGTATTCATTTTATTTATACAACGGTCCCAGTTTGTCATGTGGCCTTTGGGGGAAATTAATTACCCACCCCTGCTTTATTTGTTCACAAGAAGTCAAACTCAGCACAGCCCCTTTCTGATGGCAGTCTGACTCAGTCGATGACACTGGGGACCTCTGCTATGAAGATTTTCATCTTCACAAGCCTCAAAGCCAGTGGGACTACTCTTATTCAACAAGGAGGAATGTGCCACACTCTTTTTTTCTGAGGGTGAAAGTGAAAAAATTGGATTCACCTTATCTGGAAGAAAAGCTAAACACCAACAGAAACTGTTGTCTCTGACAGCCTTAAAACCTGTGTGACCATAACTGCCATAAACACAAGCGTTCTTTTTCTCCTTGATAATAACTATTTACATAAACATCTATATACATCTCCAGAAATACTTCACAAGATTTCCATAATTATGCAAGTCCCTCGAGTTCCTTTGTGGTTCAGATCATAAGATCATCTTTAGGCCATTATCACTATTTAACATTGTTTTTCACTAATCAATACAAGGTAGTATAACCCTGTAAACTCACGCCCTTAAGAAATAGGGAAAAAATCCAGTTAAGACTCAGGAGATAGGGCTCTTCGGCTGAAATTTTTGGTTTATCGGGTGATGGCCTTCAGCTCACACTGGAGCGGTATACAGCTGAGTGTGAAGCGGCGGGAATGAGAATCAGCACCTCCGAGTCTGAGGCCATGGCCCTCAGCCAGAAAAGGGTGTAATACGCACTCCGGGTCAGCTAAGAAATACTGCCCCAAGTGGAAGAGTTTAAATATCTCGCAGTCTTGTTCACAAGTGAGGAAAGTTGGGAGCGGGAGATCGACTAATGGATTGGTGCTGCAGCTGCAGCGATGCGGACGCTGTATCAGTCCATCGTGGTGACGAAAGAGCGGAGCGTAAAAGCAAAGCTCTTGAGCTCCTACACAAAGCGGATGTACAAGAACTTTAGGTAGTTACCGAAAGAACGAGACTGCGGATACAAGTGGCAGAAATGAGCTTTCTCTGATGGGTGGCTGGCCTCTCCCTAAGAGATAGGGTGAGGAGTTCAGCCATCTGGGATGGGGTCAGAGTAGAGCCGCTGCTCCTCCACAGGAGCCAGTTAAGGTGGTTCAGGCATCTGACAAGGATGCCTCCTAGGCGCCTCTAGGTGAGGTGTTCTGAGAATGTCCCCCTGGGAGGAGGCCCTGGGGCAGACCCAGGACACGCTGGAGAGATTATATCTCTTGGCTGGCCCGGGAGCGCCTCGGTGTTCCCCCAGAAAACCTGTTGGAGGTGGCTGTAAAACATGATGGAGGCTCTGTCATGGTAAAGAGCTGCATTTCGGCCAGAGGTGTTGGGGATCATGTTAAAATTGATAAAATCATGATAGCGGAAAAATACCTTCAGATTTGAATTCACAAATCAATGCCACCTTTTTCAGCACGACAATGATCCCAAACAATGAAACACCATCATTCATGGATTGGCCTCCATAGAGGCTCAACCTTAACTTTATTGAAGCAGTGTGGGGTCATCTTGACAGAGAACAGAATAAAAGGCCTCAACATTTAAAGAAGAGCTTTAAATGACTTCAAGAAACCTAGAGATCTTTCCTGAAGACTACTTAAAGAGAGTAAATTCAGGATGTGTTCAAGAATAAAGGTTGTCATATAGATGTCACACATTATTATATAGAACAGAAAATCTGTGCATGATAGAATCTTACAGTATGTGGATGTTATGCAGCAAGCAGTCTATGTCCATACTGAACAGCCAGGAAAGGACTCATTGATGGTGGGATCTGACTTTTCTTCCCAGGTAATTCTCACTCTGTGATATTTTCATCTATCCGTGGCCGCTGATCCGTCCCTAATCCAAATCCTGGCTCTAATTACACACTCACACTTTCACACACTAAACATTTGCACAGTATACACAAAATCCAGCTTGTGCACAGCTACACACTTTGCTTTACATATACCCACACGCACAAACACAAACACACGGGGACACATGCACGCACGCAAGCACACTAAAGGAACCACACTGTGAGGTTTGTCTTAGCCCGGGCAGAGAAAGTAAAACAGTTTGTTGTGGTTGTGGTAACTGAAGTGCTGTTTCCATGTATTAGGCAGGCACCACTGAAGCTCTTGCATTTGGGAAAGTAGGAATGTGTCATATTGAAAATCAATGGCTGCACTTTTTACAGAGACACACTGCGCTGTATTGATTTGGGGTGTTTTAATTAAATTTTTAAAAACAAACAAACCAATAAACATTGAGGTGTGATGCAACAAGTCACCAGACAGTACAAAAATGCTGTGGGTAAGTGCTGATACCGCTGATAACAAATAGCTACTCTGGCTTGTGTTAATAGGGTCACTCTCAGTGATGCATTTGTCACATCTAGGTAACAAATTAGTGGGAATCCCATGATGGTCTGGCCTACTTAATAAAAGCTCAACAACACCTGGATTAGAATGTCCACTGCACCTGGTGGTTTAGGCCAAACGTGACGTGTTCTGTCTTTTCGTGCACATTTCCATTTTTATAACTTGGGGCTAATGGCCGATGCGTAGACGTAAATGTATAATTGTGCCAATCTTTATTGCCACTTCTCAGAAATCCCAAGATCTTTAAGAAAGAGATCTTGGAACAGCTTGAAAAGATGAGACTTTCTGGAGAAAAAAATTAATTAAATCTCAGTGAATTTGTTGATTCCTTTTTCAACTGATGCTTGTATCACAGCGTTGATGGTGGAGATTTATTTTCTGAGCCTATTGTTCAGGACTAAAATGCAGGATTACAGGGAGTATAAATGCTGATGGGCCCGCGGTGACATCACAATCGGAAAAACTTTTCAAGGTCATCTCTAAAAAAGCGAGCAGCCATATAAAAAAATAGAACATCTATTAAAATATGTTATGAGCAACTACTTGCAGAAAGAGCAAGAGAGGCTCTTTTTCTCTGAATGAATAAACATGTTAGCCAACAAACACACACAATCACTTGCTTTTCTTTCCTGTGCTACTTACTTGTTTCCCCCATCTCATATTCGCTGTCTCTCAGCAGTTCAAAGATGTCCACCTCCAGCTTGCCAGTGATGGAGCGGTTACTGCTCCTGTTGATGCTGTCTTTGGCCAGCGTGATAGCCAGACGCTCTCCTCTGCTGCACTCCATAGGGTCATCAAGGATGGCAGCTGAGGAAAATGGAAAAGGCCATTGTGTTGTGAGACTGAGAGAAAATCCCCCAAAATAAAACACATTTATTCTCACTGGTAAGTGAAATATTTCCCAAATGAAGGAGAGTGAAGGTGGCCTTTTTGCCATTGAGTTGAGGAATTTAAAAAGACACTTTTTCCCCTTTCTTTAATAAAAAGTCTAGTCTACAGAAAGCAGCTCCCAAGGCGGCGCACAGGCTTATTAGGACCAGTGCTTATTTGACTTTTCGTGAACACCTTTCTCCATTATTCTTGAGTACCTCCAATGGCACAGCATTATCCTTAATAACTCCATACACTTTTCCAAGCAGCTTGTAGAGTAGGGGTGGGGTATTTAATATTTCCAAAAAGGTGAAGTGCTACATAATGTAAATAATGGATCTGTATGGTAAAACCCTGAAATCTTAAAAGCTTTAAATTCTTTCACCTATTCAAAGGCATTTTAAAGGGCAGCACAAAACCTAAAAGTCATAACATCCTCTATCATGCAGCACAAGAATGAAAATCAGCATCTGTAATGGCATGCCAGACACTTAGAACACCAGTCACTGCAGCAGCTTTCCAAAGACGCTACGTACACCGTGTAGGTCTACAAAATTAAATCAGTTTGTCACAAGAACACTAAAGAATGACAAGACAGCATGTTGTTCTCCAAAATGATTTAGGTGCATTCTCTATGCAATATTTGTTGCAGTGTAGTCGCATTATAATCAGAGGAACTGATTCCTGTCTTGTATATGGCTTAGCTAAGCCAATTATAAAGGGATTGGATATAGATGATGCTTTCTTCTCGTTTTTATGCAGAAAAAATAATGTAATTCCACCACAATAAGGCTGCAGATGGTTATTATAAATCATTGCACAACACATCATAACTAAGGAGTGGCACATTTGTGTGCATGCTCCGATTTTTTTCTTTTTGGGAACAACATTATGGACTTACTCCGTGACCTTTAACGGCACAGGTGTCACATTGTCATGATGAGCAATTATGCAGGCGCAGCAAACATCATCTGTTTACTGTGTTGTCAGAAAGGAGAGAAACAGAATTGCACACAGCTTCTCATTCTGTCTCTTATTTCTGATTATAAGTCCAACCATTAATGGGCTTTTTTTCGTGAAATTGTGTGGCTTGATCCACTGACTCTATGCTGGATCAATGCTCGTTAGAACCCTGACAAGTCAGCAATATATCAACAATCAGTCAAGTGCCTATTCATTACATAACTGCAACAATTTTGAAATTATATATTGACAACTTAATCAGCTTTCGACTCAATTACATCAACAAATATTTATATGAAATGCAAGACACCTTCAAAAGTCTACAGTCAGGAAAGTAAAGCCTAATAAAGTGTGCAGCAGATGTCTGAAAGCAGGCTTTGTAATTACTGTAATTACACTGGGCTAGCACAAAGGTTCTTAAGTTAAATCGATTACATCTGCAGTTAAAGCGCAGGCAGGAGATAAAAGCAACCAACCCGGAAAAGTGTGAAATTAATAAGACACAAAAAAAATACAATTAAGTACAACATGGCTGAAAGGGAAATGTGCTGTAGGCTGTCCAATATAGAAGAAAACCGTGGGTTGCGTGTCTCATCTTATCAGAATTAAATGATCAGACGTGCATGCAAAGCTGAAACATGTTTGAAGTGACCTTTTCCCTACGGATCACACAGCTGAATAAACATCAGCTAACTCTGACTCGCAAAGATGAGACATACCCACTCATCTGATACCATCACAGCGCCAAGTCACAGCAAGTCAATATCTACAGCCCACTGAATGCTCTGTGAACAAGCGGAGAGTAGCTGTGGAAGGTCATCTGAGGTTGCACTCACCTCTGGCTTTTAAAGCTGTGAACAAAGGACATGTTTGCTTCTTCATGGACCCAATAGACTACTTCTTGATTATTTCCAGCTTAATATCATATTATTTAGACACCATTGTAAAATCAAGAATAAGATGCCTTCAAGAGCTGTGTGATGGTGCAGCTCACAGGTCTTGGGTTCGAATCAACCAGACAGCTGGGGCTGTGTTTGCATGTTCTTGCGCTTGTGTGGGTTCTTACCAGCTCCAAAGATATGAACGGGTTAGGTTAACTGGAAATTCTAAAGCGTGCGTGGGAAAGGCTGTCTGTCTCTTTGCTTTAGCCCAGCAGTACACTGGAAACCTGTCCATGGTGTATACCAACTTTTGCTGGGATAAGTTCCAACCCTGAATTGGATAAGCAGACGAAAATGGATGGCTGGATGGAAGTATAGAGAACTTTTCCTGGATTTAATTGTGTAGAGAAAAAATGACTCTGTTCCAAAAATCTTACATTAGCTCTCTCCGCTCTGTCCTAACACCCCCCATCACACAAGCACAGTCTTTATACAGCTAAAAATGTATCGGTGCTGACTTTTATCGTCACATTGGATTTAGTGCTTGCTCTTCCAGGTGAAACACTTTTGCTTAAACCGGCAGCATGCCTTGCTTCCTGTGTGGATACTATTCAATTGAAACTGGCTTGAAACAATATTTGACCGGTTAGTCTCCTGTCACGGGCTCTTCTAAAGCCAGAAAACAGTCAATTCAATTCAATTTTATTTATATAGCGCCAAATCACAACATAAGTCGCCTCAAGGCGCTTCATGGAGGCCAGTTTCCTCTCAGATACAGTATGGCTATTATGGAATATGGGAGTCATAATAAATGACAAAAAAACCAAAAACCCAACATGCATGTTGACAGAACATATTAAAGATGTGATGAAGGATAATAAAACTAAAACAAACAAACATTGTATGACTGCAGGACACTGTCGACTTTAAGTAATTTAATTGCATTTTCCAGTTAATTTTTTTCCATAAGTGTAAAACATTTAAAACATTTAATTGATTGGTATGCATTCAGCTTATACTAAGCATATTTTCTTAACAATTCATTAGTTATTAAACAAATAAAACTTTGATTTTATATATTTCAGCTAGATTTTACTCAAAATGATTTCTTCATGTTAATGAGGGCAAAGACTTGGTTTTTGGAGTGTAGAATAAAGTATGAACAGCAGGATTCATTCTAAAAAAAAAACCTTGATTATACGGACTCACTAACTGCGCAGTAACTGCTTCATCCGGCCATGTTAAATAAATTTTGAATCAATGTTGAAATACTGATGAAACTTGTCAGTGTAATAGTAATGACATTGGAATAACATTGATTCAGTTTGATTAGGTTGATTATGTTTTTCTAAGATACGATAAGACAAGACTTTATTGATCCCACGACGGGGAAATTTTTGCGTTACCTCAGCGTAGGTACAGATATCAGAAGGAAATACAAAAATACAAATAAGTACAACCAATGAAAAAAAGTAAGATAACACACTATATACAACGGTAGCATACACAGTATGTGATTATGGATACAGTTGTGGAAATATGCAAGACATAAACTATATAGCTTATAATTGTCGTTGTTTATAATTGATGATCTAGTTATAGTTGACCAAGTGAAAAGTTATGGATTCAGAGATGACTGGGAAATTGAAAAGCTATTATCAATTGAACTGTTCCATCACACCCCTCGCAATGTGGTACATCCCGTCTGACCACCATTGGTCACTGATCTATGGTTGACCAGGAATTTATATTAAAATACGATTTATTTATAGATGAAAAATCATGATAGCTGTCAATATAGTTGACTGGGAAATTAAAGTATTGCATCCCATATGTCCACTATTAAGATGATATTTATAAATCTATGATACAGGAGACAATCCTGTATTAGTCGACATCACTGCACCCCAGAGATCTCCTCTGCATCAGGTAAGCATTTACTTATTTTTTAATATTTTAAAGGTGCCAAATGTATTTTAACCAATTATATTTCATACTTCGTCAAATACTGAGTACAGTGACACATATTGCAGATGTGTAACTGTCACCATGGTCATTATTAGGCACTTCAAAATGTCAATAACCGAAGTTAGCTTGCTAACGTAACTGACAACTTACGCAGATTATGTTAGCTAGGATGAATTCTGGAAAGAGAGAGATATATATGAAAACCTCTGAACAAAGTCTGCTTTTTCCTTATTTTTTTTTCATGTCCTATTTTCAGTTTTTGGTTTTCTTTTCTTTTTGTACATGGAGTCACTCAGCAAGTGGAGGCAGTGACAGTCTGTGACTCTTTTACCTTCAGGCAGTTCACAGTTAGCATTCCCACCAGGTGGAGGCAGGACATCATTCAGTAGGAGTGAATTCATCAAAAATTATTGTAAACTAATCTTGATTTAATAAATTAAATAAACTTAACTGATGTTAGAGTTTAATAGTACACTCAAAAATGTTTCACTCAACATCATTACACCATTTATTATAAGATAAGTAAATTTAGATAAGTAAATTTCATTATTCTGAAGTAGTGGAAGTAATTTTTTTTACATCAGTTGAAACAACACTTATGTCCTCTTGATCTTTAGTAGTGACGTCCACATTGTTTCAGTATTAACTGAGGGTGCAAAAATGATCAAGAACCAATATCAGAATTCAATGATGATTCAATGACATTTAGGTTGAGAGTATAACATTGATTTTACATACGTTCAATTATTGTTTGCTATCTGTGTCAGCATCTCAATAACTGTATATTTCCCCAGTTTAATTTGCAGACCTGTGCGTGTGTGTAAAAAGCCACACTGATTGTTGTTTCTTTAGTGGGCACTTTTCTCATTTAAGAAAAAAACAAGAAAGAAACATCACCTCAAAGCTGCAAGAAAAAATATAAATGCCAATACAATATTAGTATTTTAGTTAAATGCTGTAATGCACAATGAAAGCTACCCGCAGAAGTAAGTAAAATCAGTAATTCTGGCAGGTTCTGTTCCCGGAGGAAATGACATTTTACCGTGGTCAATACATGACAGCTGGCAAACAAGCAGGGCTGTTTTCACGCAGCGAAAACACGGGCTGGAGTTTGATCCATTGAAA